GGACAGCAAGGAGATCAAACCAGTCCATCCTAAAGGAAATCAACGCTGACTATTCATTGGAAGGACTGATGGCTGAATCTGAAGCTCTAGTACTTTGACCACCTGATGCGAAGAGCTGACTCACCGCTGAAGACCCTGATGCTGGGAAAGATTGAAGGCGGGAGAAGGGGACGACAGAGGATGAGATGGTTGGATGGCATCACCAGCTCGATGGACATGAGTTTGGATAAACTCTGGGAGATGGGGAAGGACAGGGAAGCCTGGTGTGCTGCAGTCCATGGGGTCGCAAAGAGTCGGACATGATTGAGCAGCTGAACGACAGCAGCAGCAACTGAAACAGACGCTCCAACACAGTGTAAGCTCAGTACGTCTGCTTCCCGAGAATGGCTTGAGGAAACCTGCAGTATCACAGCGTTCACAGCCGGGATACTTCTTTCCAGTGAAAGCAACCAAGAATGAGAAAACGCTGTCTCTTTTCAATAATTACCACTGATCATCGCACAACAAAAGGCTCTGCAGTTTCTGTCACACACAATCAACGACGATTAAAACTGCATCTTGAAAACTCACATGATTATTCCACGGATAAACCTCAGGCTCCCTCCGAGGCTGCCCAGAAAGTGAAGTCGCTCAGTTGTGTCCAACTCTCTGCAACCCCATGGACCGTAGCCCGCCAGGCCTCCTCTGTCCATGGGATGTTCCAGGCAAGAGTACTGGAGTGGGGTTGCCATTTCCTCCTCCAGGGGATCTTCCTGACCCAGGGATCAAACCTGGGTCTCCCGCATTGCAGGCAGACGCTTTACTGTCTGAACCACCAGGGGAAGTCCACCCCTCTAGCAAACACTAGGGACCCACATGTTCATAAGACACATCTCGTGCCATAAAAAGATATTACTCGAGCGGCGTTTTCTGATGACACGGAGGCTGTGTTGGAAGATGGAACAGAAAAGGAATCTCTTAAAAAAAAAAAAAAAACAAACCTGTCCTCTCCCAGGAAGGAGGATACACAAGGCAGCTGTCACATGGGCTCACAGCCTGGATCCGGGAGTTACTGACCACCCCCCACACCATCCAGCATCCAGCAGGTCTCTCCCCTGGCCCACCCACTTCTCTCTCCGGAGTCCTTCACCCTCTGCCCGTCTTCCTGTAGCTCACCTGCCCTTGGTCCTGTTAGGACCTCAGCTGTGATCCGTCCACCCCTTCAAAATTCATACGTTGAAATCCTCCCGCCTGGTAGCCCGGAGCATGACTACATGTGGAAGGGGGGGGGGGCGGTCTTTAAAGAGGTGATTAAGTTAAAATGAGGTCACTAGTTGGTGACTCAGAAAGTAAAGCATCTGCCTGTAATGCGGGAGACCTGGGTTCGATCCCTGGGTCGGGAAGATCCCTATGGAGAAAGAAATGGCAACCCACTCCAGTCTTCTTGCCTGGAGCATCCCATGGACGGAGGAGCCTGGTGGGCTACAGTCCACGGGGTCGCAGAGAGTCGGACACGACCGAGTAACTTCACTTTAAGTTAAAATGAGGTCACTAGTCAATCAGTGACTCTTTGCGACCCTGTGGATTGCAGCACGCCAGTCCTTCCTGTCCATCACCAACTCCGGGAGCTTGCTCAAACTCACGTCCATCGCATCAGTGATGCCACCCAGCCATCTCGTCCTCTGTCGTCCCCTTCTCCTCCCGCCTTCAATCTTTCCCAGCATCAGGTCACTAGCATCAGAGGTCACTGGGGTGGGCCCTAATGTCCGACTCTTGGCGACCCCATGGACTACAGCTCCCCAGACCCCTCCGTCCATGGGCTTCCCCAGGCAAGAAGACTGGAGTGGGTTGCCGTTCCCTTCTCCAGGGGATCTTCCCCACCCAGGGATCGAACCCACGTCTCTTGCATCTCCTACGCCAGGGAGGGGGGCAGATTCTTCCCTACTAGTGCCCCCTGAGAAGAAATCCAGACCACCACTCTGCTGCCAGAAGACAGAGACCCTACAGAAACTGTCACGTTCCTAAGGATGCCTTTTTCTTCTTCTTCATGTTCCCAATTTGCAAACCCCAGGCAGTTCCAATGCCAGACTTCTCAATCCTTCGACTGAAATAGTATAGCTTACTAAACCCAAACATGTGCAAGCCCTCTCCCTCCCCCATCCCCCACCCACCCAAAAAAGTTACACAAGGCAACCAAATCCTGTTTTCTCCCCTTTGGCTCGGTGGGGTGGGGGCGGGGGGGGGGGGCGGTGGTGTGGCTGCATCTCACACACAAGTGCCTAGACTGTGTTAAGGATTTTAAGACAGTTGCATAACCTGGCTTGCAGGAGCCAGCCAAGCTTTTATTTTTATTTTTTAACTGAATCTGGCTTCGCTGTGATGGTAACAGATTGTGAACTATACATCTACCAGTGTTGCTCCTGTGCCAAACCCTTTTAAGTTATGTGTGCACAGAATGGCATTTAAAGGCCTTAAATATCTCTCAAGGGAAAGGAGAGTGCAGAAAATAGCTCACGAAATTCACATAATGTGAGCAACAGCTGATGCAAAGTTGGGGGTGGGTTGGGTTGGGTTTGGGGCTGCTTTTCTGGTTGGTTTGGTTTTGTCATTTTGCTTTGTGGCTGAAGGAAAGGAGTAGGGAAGAGAAGGGGAGGCTGATCCAGGCAGCTATTTAGGAAACTCCTTTGTGAACCTGAGGGGATGGGCTCAGGAGTGCTTTGGCTGAGGGTTGAGCAAGCTTGGAGGGTCCCTATGTACTGACCCTGCAGGCAGTTGGGCTCCCCGGGGCTCAGGGTGCCCAGCCTCCACTGCAAAGTCACCCCCTCTCAATCTGGACAAGTGGTTGTTTGAAAAAAAAAAAGTGTTTTTTTTTTTGAAGCAGACTTCCTGTTATGTTCAAGGAAGGCTTGGGCCGTTTTATTATTAAGCAATTTTCCTTTTAAGTTTCAAAACAACAGCCACATTTCTCCCAGACTAAAGTCTGCCTTGTTCAAACATCCATGTTTTAAAATCCCTTATTTTCTTAAGCCCTTAATTAAGCCTTCCAAAAGCTCGGCTCTGTTTTAATTTGCATTCCGAAACAGAAAAGCTAATGTGTTTTAACATTGTCTGCTTCAGCTGAAAAGGAAACTAAATTTATACAGTCTGGATTTTGTTTTTTGGGTTGTTTTTTTTTTTAATTGTCAGTTGCATTCTAATGAGCCTTGCAACTGGGTTTCTTATGCCCTGGTCCTTGGCCTTCCATACACATCTCTCCCGGACTTCCTTCCCCGTCCCCTCCCCCTCCCCCTCCTCCCCTCCCATCTCCGATCCCCGATCCCTTCCCCTCCCCGCCTCCCCTCCCCCGGCCCGCGGCCCCGGCCCCTCGCGGCGGGGCCGGGCGGAGTCTGGCCTCCGCCTCCGGGCTGCGGGGGAGGGGCGGCGGCCGGACCGGTTCTTGGTCGGGAGGTCGGCGCCCCGCGCCGCTGGGAAAGAATTACCGCCGACCTTCGAAGAGCCGCGCACTCGCGGCCCCTGCCCCCACGCCTACGGGCCCGGGTCAGTCCAGCTCAGTTCATTCAGTTCAGCCGCCCAGCCGTGTCCGACCTCACGGGCTGCAGCACACCAGGCCTCCCTGTCCATCACCAACTCCCGGAGTTAACCCAAAACTCATCTCCATTGAGTGGGTGGATGCCATCCAACCCTGTCACCCAAAACTCATCTCCATTGAGTGGGTTGATGCCATCCAACCCTGTCACCGTCTGTCGTCCCCTTCTCCCGCCTTCAGACTTTCCCAGCATCAGGGTCTTCTCCAACGAGTCAGCTCTTCCCATCAGGTGGCCAAAGGATTGGAGTTTCAGCTTCAGCATCAGTCCTTCCGGCGAACCCTCAGGACTGATCTTTAGGATGGACTGGTCGCATCTCCGCCTGGCCCTGCTCTCTCTAAATCCTGAGCTCCCAACACAGTTCTCCGGCTCTCAGTTTCGGGGATCCTGGGGCTCTCTCGGGGCGGGGCAGGGGGATGGGGGCTGCAGGCAAACGGGGAAATAGATGGATTTGGGGGCAAAGGTAAAGGGGGAGCCCTGGGAGACAGAGATGGGGGCTCCAGTGAAGGAAAAGTGAGGCTCAGAGTCTAGGGCTGCCTGTCCTCTTGGTGGACACACGAGAGTGTCTGAATTTCTGCTGAAGGTCCAGGTGCTGGGGGTTCCTGGCCACACAGTTTGACAACCGGTCCCTACTGCCCAGCCCTGCCATTAAACCCTCAGGTTTCCCAAAGTTATCACAGACCCTTGTGTGCATTCTCAAGCCCCCTGTTGAAGGCTGTGTGCCTTTACTATGACCTTACAGCTCAGCTGTTAAATAATCTTTACTCTTCCTAATATAAGTCTAAGCAAAGCCAACTTTCCATTCAAGAAAATAGATTCCCCGAGGAAGCTGGCGTTCATGTTTGCATACACGACATGCCTGTCGTTCTTCTCTGCAGGGAAAAAAAAAAAAAAAAATTTTCCATCCAAACATGGGAGCTGAGGGTTAAGGGGAGATTAATAATAAAATGGGGCTCACGCACTGTCTAAATAGCTTGGCATCCTGATTTTATTACCTAGCCTTAAAAATATTTTTTCTAGGTCACTAAATATTTTTCAAAGACATACTTTTTAACATTCCACCTTCCCCAGTTTCAAATGCCAGAAGGAGTACTAACCATTCCCGCAGGGCAGAACATTCTTTTTGTTTAACCCTAAAGAACTATAGTATCCTAAATTACCCCCTTGTGTAGTTATACAAGTAACTATTTTACCTGAAAAAAAAAAATGGATACAGTTTCCCCCTGCCATGGACAACTGTGTTGATTGTTTGCCTTGGGTTTGTGGGGTTCCTGTTTGAAGCTCTCCAGTGTAGAGAATTGACCTGCAATGTAGGAGACCTGGGTTCAGTCCCTGGATCTGTTGCAGAAAGGGGGACCCCTTCCAGGGCCCGTGAAAGTGGGCTCTAACCGTCGGAAATGAATTGTCTGAGGAGACACATGAGCTGACAAAGAGATTTTAAAGGGGCGCCCGGCGGGGAAAGCAACCAAGTAAGGGCACCCAGGAGGACTGCTTTGCCACGTGGCTCACAGTCTTGGGTTTTATGGTGATGGGGTTAGCCTCCGGGCTTTCTCTGGGCAATCGCTCTAACTCAGGGTCCTTCCTGGGGGTGCACACATTGATCAGCCAAAGTGGATACCAGCAAGAACGATCCAGGAGAGTTGTCGGACATGTAGTGTCTCCATCCGAACTTTCCCAAACTCTTCTGCTTCGTGGTGGCTTATTAGCTCTGCATTCCTTACTGGGACCTTCTGTCATAAAGTGAAAGTCGCTCAGTCGCATCTGACTCTCTGCAACCCCATGGACTATTTAGTCCATGGAATTCTCCAGGCCAGGATACTGGAGTGGGTAGCGTTTCCCTTCTCCAGGGGCTCTTCCCAACCCAGGGATCGAACCCAGGTTTCTCACATTGCAGTCGGATTCTTTACCAGCTGAGCCACCCATGAAGCCCTCTTGCGTTGTCAAAGCTGGCACAAGTGGTTACTATGTTGCCTGGCTAGGTTGGGCAGGTTCAGTGAGTGTGCTTCCCCTAACAAATGAGGAAGATCCCCTGAAGAAGGACGTGGCAACCCAGTCCAGCTTTCTCCTCTGGGAAATCCCATGGACAGAGGAGCCTGGCGGGCTACAGTCGTGGGGTCTCAGGAGTCGGACCCGACTCAGCAACTTAACCAGCCAGCCCAGTCAGTGTTTTAGAAAAAGGGGTGGGCCGCCGTTCCAAGCCGAGAGCAACTTCCTGTCCTTGGAGACCTCAGATGAGGTTGGCCTGAAAGGGGGTAGAAAGGACACTCCAGAAGAGTGGAGAGAACCAGAGATACCCGAATACCCTGTTCTTGGCAGGATCCAGGATGCGAAAGTCCCAAAGCACCACCTGCCGTGTTCCCTGGGACATCCAGCAAACATGAAATCTTCATGGTGAGGAGTGAAAATTTTCCCTCTGTTGTATTCTGTTCGATACACCCTTTTGGCGTTCATAGACAGGTGCACGTTTTAGGGGCATGGTGCAAATGACTGCTTCCCTGTAAACTGAATGACTTTGAAGGCCCCAGACGTAGGAGAGGGAGTCTCCACAGCAAAAAGACGTCTGTGTGTGTATGTGTGTGTGTCTCGGTTAATGACAAACATCAGACTGTGCTTAGTCACTCAGTCGAGTCCAACTCTTTGCGACCCCATGGACTGTAGCCCAACAGGCCCCTCTGTCCATGGGATTCTCCAGGCAAGAAGGCAAGAAGTGGGTTGCCATTTCTTTCTCCACGTTACTTAGATGACTAAGCTCACGCGCTCAGTCGTGTCCGACTCTTTGCAACCCCATGGACTGTAGCCCGCCAGGCCCCTCTGTCCATGGGATTCTCCATGGCAAGAATACTGCAGTGGGTTGCCGTTTCCTTCTCCAAACATCAGGATGATGAACTGGAATCAGTCCCCGTTTGGGGCCCGTCACACAGACTTTGTGAGCAAATCGTGTCCCTGAGTTGCGTTTTGGCACACTTGGACGGACGTGGACTGTAAAAAGAAGAAGGGGAAGAAAGAAACGGAGCTTTGCATTTCACAAAGCACCAGCCCTCAGCTCCTGCTCTGCAGTGGAGAGCTCATGCCAGGGCCGTCCTTGTATCTCCGCAGAACCCTCACATAGTGAGTTTTCTGTTCCTTGTATCAACAGCGTCGATGTTACCGCGTGACCGAGCGTATCTGAATACCCGGAGGAAAGAAGACACATGTGCACACCAGCTCCTCCGTGAGTTTTCACGCCAGCATTGTTCACAGAAGTCAAAAAGTGGAAACACCCCGGATGTCCATCAACAGATGTTGGATACACAGAATGTGATCTGTCCACAAAGCAGAATCTGAGTAAGCCGGAAAAGGGGGTACTGGTGGGTATGCAACGCGGTAGCAGCTCAGATACGTTATCAGCTCAGTTCAGTTCAGTCGCTCAGTCGTGTCCGACTCTGGGACCCCATGGACCGCAGCATGCCAGGCCCCCCTGTCCATCACAAACTCCCGGGGCTTACCCAAACTCATGTCCATTTAGTCAGTGATGCCATCCAACCGTGTTGTGCTGGAACACCAAAGGCTGACTGTCGTTTGATGCCATTTTTGTGAGGTGTCCAGGATGGATCAACCTACAGAAACAGGACGTAGCTGAATGGTGGTTGTCAGCTCCAGGAGGGGACAGCGCTAGGTGGTTGTCAGCTCTGTTGGGGGTGATGAAAAAAATGTGTGAAACTAGATGTGGAGTTGTGGTTGCACAACTCAAAATACACTGAAATTGGGACTTCCCGGGTGGTCCAGTGGCTAAGTACCTCCGAGCTCTCAACGCAGGGGGCTGGGTTTCCTCCTGCGTTGCAGAACTAGATCCCACATGCTGCAACTAAGAGATGGCATATTGCAGCAAAGATTGACTCCATGTGCTGCAATGAAGGCTCCGCGCAGCCAAATAAATACATACAATAAATGTTTTTTAAAAAGAAACACACGGAAAGTGCTTCCCTGGTGCCCCAGGGGTGAAGAATCCAAACACCAGTGCAGGGGACACAGGTTTGATCCCTGGTCTGGGAAGCTCTCATGTGCCAAGGGGCAGCAAAGCCCATGTACTGCAACTACTGAAGCCCGTGCATTGTGGAGCCTCTGTTCTGCCACGAGACGCCACTGCCAAGAGAATCCTGAGCGCTGCAGCTAGAGAGTAGCCCAGCTAGAGAGTCGCCTCAACCAGAGAAATCGCTGCCGCTGGAGAAAGCCGGTAGATGGCAACGAAGACCCCAGAACAGCCAAAAAATAAAAACAAATAAATTTAAAATTAAATTAAAGAGACGTCGAAATGTACTGAGAAATAGCACTGAATTATACATTTTACAGTGGGTGAATTTTATGGTATGTAAAGTGAAGTGAAGGACACTCAGTCATGTCTGACTCTTTGCAGCCCCAGTCCATGTATATTCTACACAGTCCATGGAATTCTCCAGGCCAGAATACTGGAGTGGATAGCCTTTCCCTTCTCCAGGGGGATCTTCCCAACCCAGAGATCGAACCAGGGTCTCCTGCATTGCAGGAGGATTCTTTACCAACTGAACCACCAGGGAAACCCAATAATACTGGAGTGGGTAGCCTTTCCCTTCTCCAGGGGCTCTTCCCAACTCAGGAATCGAACCAGGGTCTCCTACGTTGCAGGTGGATTCTATACTGTCTGAGCTACTAGGGAAGCCCCAGCCTTCTCCTCCTTTGCAAAGCTCCTCCTCACCAGTCCTGCCCTAGCTCTCCTTTCTTCTCACTTGAGAACCCAGGAAGCATTTGGGCGGCACCTCCTCCACTTACCCCCTGCTCCGAATCACATCTGCCCTGCTCTTCAAAAACATGACAGCCAGAAAGCCACCCCCAGGGATTTGGGTTCCTTAGGTCTGGGATGCGGTCCACCCATTGGAATTTTTTTTAAGTTACTTGGAGGGCTTCCCTGGGGTCTCAGCTGGTAAAGAATCTGCCTGCAGTGCTGGAGACCTAGGTTGGATCCCTGGGTTGGGAAGATTCCTCTGGAGAAGGGAAAGGCCACCCACTCCAGTATTCTGGCCTGGAGAGTTCCGTGGACTGTGTAGTCCATGGGGTTGCAAGGAGTTGGATACGACTGAGCGGCTTTTACCTTCTTTGGAGATCCAAAGGTTGGGGGGGGGGAACTGTTTTTAAAAGAAAAGTTCCCAGGTGCCCTGGTGGTTTGGATTTCAAGCTATCAGAGTCAGGAGGCCAGATTCAGTCCCTCGTTGGGGAACAGAAATCTGGGAAGCCATGCACTGCAGTCAAAAAAATGTTTAAATGCCTAGAGATTGCCACGGGCAGCCGAAGTCGGCGCTCCAGTCGTGCCCACCCCCCTTTCTCACTTTTGCTGCTTCCCAATGCACCGATGCGTTTCTTCACTTTGCTCCCCTTGGAAGCACTCCGAGTACTCCCGAGTTTTTCTTTGGAGAGACATTTTTCCTGTAAGTTAATATTCTGGATGCTGAGTCATGGAGCCTTCTCCCAGGGAAGAAATAATGCTAGATTATTGCTGGCAGGGATGGAATTCAGGAGCTCTCCTTGATAAGTGTTTTTTTCATTTATATCAACTCTGGCAGTGTTGGCATTTGGGACTGGATCGTGCTGCGTGCACGCTGGGTGTTGGGCAGGTTCTTCTTCCAGGAGGGAAGAATCCACAGACCAGGGTCTCCTCTGAAATCCCTGACATTGTTCTAGAGACATTACAAACTTTTAAAGAAAACTCCACTGGTGCTGTTTCTTCTGAAAGATCCCTCCTGGTTGTCTTGTTTTCCCTGCTGCAGCCCTATGCAGAGAAGAGCTTGGATGGTGTGGAGACCCCTGGTCTTCACCCACCAGGTGCCAGACCCACCCCCTGCCCCCAGCTGTAACAGTTCCAGTGTCTCCAGACATTGCATACATCCCTTGAGGGGAGCAAAAATCACCCCATTTGAGAATCACTGATTTAAGAGTATACAGAACTGTGTTTCCACTTTGCTGATTTTCAAGTGTGCTTAAAAAATATATAGTTTTTCAAAATCTTTCCCTAGTGGCTCAGTCGGTAAAGATTCCGCCTGCAATTGCCGAAGACTGGCTGGAGCACGGGAGATCCAGTTTCAATCCCTGGGTCAGAAAGATCCCCTGGAGAAGGAGATGGCAACCCCTCCAGTATTCTTGCCTGGAGAATTGTGTGGTCAGAGGAGCCTGGTGGGCTACAGTCCATGGGGTCGCAGAGTTGGACACAACCAAGCAACTTAAACCACAATCATGGAAGTGTGTCTCCATTTTGCTGGTTTTAAACTATGTTCAAAAATATCTATACTTTTTCAAAATACTGTTCAGTCTTAATTGATTTCTAAAGGAAATCAGTCCTGAATATTCACCGGACGGACTGATGCTGAAGCTGAAGCTCCAATACAGGAGACAGATCCACGTGTGACTTACATAGAGACCTTCTGCATGATGGCGTGGGGCTTGGCGTGGAATGGGGACACAGGGGCCTGTGTTCCAAAGCCCAAGAGAGGTCATTTGCTCAGTTCTGCAGTCTCTCTTGACCTGCCTTGGTCTTTTTCAAGGTCATACTTCCTTGGGCACAGCCGGTCACAGGTGCCGGGGTACCAAGTGGGACACGTGTCTGCTGACCTCAAGCACTGCCCCGCGTCCCAGGGCAGAGCTGGGCAGCGGTCCTGGACCAGGGGCAGAGAAGGGGCCTGCAGGGTGGTGGTTCTGGCGAGATTCCCAGCCCCAGCTGTGTGCAGTGTTATCCTCAGACTCGACCTTCAAAAATG